GGGGGGAGACTCCAGGAGGGCAGATCATCAGCGGCCACAGTTCGGCCGAGGGGGGAGGGATGGGAGAGGGGTACGAGATTGTACATCGCTCAAATAGGTAAATATATATGAGAATGGGTATGCAAAGATAACCGAAGATTCGAGATTCTGTAGAAGCAGGCGGCTACGAAGCGACGATAATGAGCAGCAGGCAGTGTCCAGGGGGGCACACAGATTTAGAGCAGCAGGAGTGGTGGTGGCGGAGGGCCTCACTTCGCAAGCTGCTTGTCCAGGGCGGCTTTAATGTTACTGAAGCGATCCGCACCAGTATAGTCAATCTCCCCACGCTCCCATGAGCCCTGTCGGTCCAAGGCAACCTCAGGCAACTTCGGTGGCTGCGTGACCGGTCCTGACGCGAAGTGTAATCCAGCCAAATGCCCCACAGGACCGCCCTATGAGAGGTCAAGAGATTATACAGTGAGTTTAAGCGAAGCAAAAAGGAGAAATTTGAAGTATCTGCACACGACTGGATTCAATAGTCGGGGGTTAAAAAGCCAACGAGGGAAGGACTAGAAAAAGACGACATTAAGTATGGCAATCAGTTGGAGGACACAGTTATGATTTGGATGACACACGGGGTACACGGGAAAGCTGTGAGTGAGGAGTGGGAGGTTAGACAAGTGATCATGACAACGAGGGGATTCCAGATTTCGAAAAGCGTGCCAACTCACAGTTTCCGTTGTCCCGGCTACCTATTATCCGAAGAGGTATAGTGAAAACAAATTGAGGGCTGAGAATGAAAGTGTAATAACATTGGATTCTGTTACTGTTATTGCTTCAACCCCCCACGTTTTATAATATATACTGCCTCAGGTGAATACCAATCACACGATGGTCGGTGGGCCTTAGGAACCCACAGATGAGCCGAACACGTCACAATTGCCTTCTGTGATTCGAAGGCACAGTGACCTCAGAGATAACTGAAGCCCGGTGTTTCAAAACTCAGTTGCTAAGTTACCGAATTAACTTACTGCTGGCTCCTGAACTGTCAGTCAGAAACCGAAGAACAAAGGACCTACGAGATCAGCCAGAAAAAGTATGCAGGATTTGCATCTTCAAACATCTTTTGTTCTTGAGGATGCACTTAAATGCGAGTCTGAATGGGGTTTGTTCTCTGTTTGCGTATACGCACACGCACTTGTCCTTTCGATTAGCGGCGCAAAATTAAACGCTACACTTACAAGATCTGGATTGAGCTTTGGTTTCACATCCGTCGTGAAGATCTGCCACCAGAAGTTTAGGAAATCGATAGACTGTTGGCTGATCTGGTCCTGTGCGATGATGGTGCCGGTCGCAGGATTGATGTTCTGGTGCCAGGGCTTTACGGGGCCAATGAAGTGAACCACACGAACTTTACTGCGGAAACGTTTCATGGCGGGTGGATAGGAGTAGAAGGCCTGGCTGATGCAGTTATACAGGAAAGGCAGGTGCCTCCGGATGTCCTTGGTGGCCCAGTCCGAAAAGAACATATTCAGGAGACCCTAAAAGGGAAGATTCAAGCACTATATAGAATAGGATCGTGAAAAGGCGCAGCCTGAGAGAGAGGACAAATGTGTAGGATTGCATGTACGCAGCACCTCGCGGCAATGCCACATTAAATGCACGGAAATATATCACAGAAAGTTGCTACTTTACTTATTAACTGCCAAACTGAGGAAAGAAGACTGGGTGATAAATTGAGACACATTGTCGGAACACCTTGGTTCGACCCAAAGCGGACTGTCGACGATCTGGACGGATGCCTCTGTT